TTTTTTTTTTTTTTATCTCCCATAATCAGGAGACTAAACTGCAACTTTTTTTTTCTATTAGAATTCAATTATCAACATTTTCAATATTTCGTTCCACCCTAATATATATATATATATATATATATATATATAAATATAATGCCAAATAAAAACAATGTCAGGACAGCTTGGTCGTTGAGGACGTTGAAAGATAATCTCATAATTGATGCATCACCGGACCGGTTCTCGACACCCGCAGTCACTCGGCGTCGCGCGACCTGTCGGACGAGAAGAGATAGCTGTGTCGCAGTCGCCATCCAGCGGTAAAGCCGGAAGTACAATGCGACCGCGTCAACATACGTTTATTATTTTGAAAAGTATTGTTATTTTTATTTAATTTTTAGTTAAAATGTTTGAATGGGAAATAATTAAAACTAGAAAAGAGTAGTTTTACTTCGAAAATATGACCTGTTTTAATGTTTTTTGACAAATATTTATATGTTATGACTCTGTCATTACCAAGGCTCATAAAATCTTGCATTTACATATTATTTTTGAAAGATTCTAGTATTTTCTATGTAAGTTATAAATTTGTTTCAAAATAACGATAAGCTAAATAAGAAATTTTATGATTCATATTTGGAAATTAACGTGATATATTTTTACATGTATTAAAATGTGATACTACACTCTCAATGAATTTTTTTCCGCTGTTCTATAAGATGTGCAAAATATAACTTTAAATAGCTATTTTCTTGCAATTGTTGCTGATTCTGCTGCTGTTGCTGCACAATAACAACATTGGAAATCCTATTCAATAGTTCTAATATTAGTGCTAGTTTTTTCTGAATGTGAGTGAACTACTCTGACTCACCACGACGCAATTCTCCATATTTTCGTCTGACGTTGTCCTGAGCTTGGTCCAATAGTTCCATCTAAGATTCCTTGTCGGCGGTGTTTATATTGTAACGTACGTGTCAAACCTGTACCTGTATCGACCACTATCACGATCAAAATCCGTACATATCACTGCGAACCCGTATTTATCGTTTTTCCGACACTGATTGCAAAACTTTTTGTGCTTGTTAAATTTCATATCACAACACACGTAATCGCCGTATGTATGACGTAGGTTGATATCGTCTTGTCGGAACAACACCACCACATTTGCATTGTCTCGTAACATTTATTTTTGTATACGGGACAATGTTTGTGAGAGAATAAACACATCAACTCTTTTGTGTCGGCCACGCGCAAAATAATCGCACATTACGTTTTGTTTTTCCATAAACACGTCATCAAAAATAAACACCGAATTTGGCAGAACAGTATCCACTGGTGGAACTTCATCACCGTTCGCAAATGTGAACACACGCATCCCTTCAACATCTTCCAATATTCGAATCAACAGTTGATATTTCAACTGCTCCCACGATTTCGAGTAGATGTAAACGTTTTCGAATTTCAATCCGTTCAAGTCGGTCAACAGCGCAAACATTAAATTGGATTTACCACAATTTGACGGACCACAAACCAGACAACGTACACTGTTTGGTAATAACTTCCCGTGTTTACTGTGCTGTATATTGGTGGCGACATGTTCGTCGAAATTAACTACGGGCAGAGTTTCTGTCTGTTTTTCAAAACGCATCGCACGTCGTCTATTACCCATCATTTCCTGTGTATTATTATTATTATAAAAAACTTTGTTAAGTAAAATTAAAACTATATTAAAAATATTATTAATTTAAAAAAACTAAAAAATATTAAAAATATTAAACTCAAAAGCCACAAAAAAAAGGCAAAATGCCTAGCGTCGAATACCCCGCCGCAATAATACGGTCCAGTCGGTCATCTTCGTGACACCGATCTCTTTGGTTACGCCGTCCGTTCGAAAATTCAACCGAACCGCCACGACAGTTGCGATCTTTTATATATCAATCTATAAAACCATCCCAGTGCGACTATTCAATAATTAGTACTATTGTTACTTTATTTGTTACTTTGTTAATAATAGTATTATTGTTACTGTTGGTTTTTATTTTATCTTTTGTTTTGTGTAAACACTTTTCTTCATTAAACGGCTTTCGACATCTATAGAACGATCTGTACGGTTTGATTTCTTTCTTCTTTTATTACGACGTTAGTCGCTACACCACTTAACATTATACATCTATTTGTGCAATTGTTTAACAATATTGTATATATTCGAAATATTAGCATTAAAATAATCAAAATATATAATGCCAATAACATAAAAATTGATTAGATATTGTGATCCATTATATTTGCGATTCATTATTATTTAATTATGGTGTTAATATTGAAATAATTATGCTAGCTTATTCATAGATAAATAATTTATTCATTTTCATGTTTATATTATATTCAAATTCAATTGCTTATTAATGAAAATACATTAAAATAAATACAGCATTTCACTATGATATAAATTAGTAAAATTAGCTTATTTAATTTAAATTTTATTTTATTTAAAGAATCAATTATTAGTGCTACAATCATCGCTGTCGTAATATTTTCAAATACAACATTTAACAAAATAAACTATATTTACAATTATTTATTGTTTACACAGTAAATGTAAAAACATTAAGTTATTTTGGATCCTTGTTCGGAAATATATTTGATCCTAAATGATCACTTTTGTATTACGTGGTCATTAATACAGTGTCTTCAGTTTTGCAATCAGAATTAATATCCCAATCCAAGTACTATTCATTGTCTAAAATAGCATAATTTATTTTTGATTTAATTAATTTCCGACATTAATAACTGGTTTCTTATTTTTGGGCAGTGTGCATTATTCTTTTTATCAGTAAAAATTTTCAACGTAAAATTCACAATACAGTCAAGAGGTACAGTAGAAATATAAGACCGTGTAAATGCAACATAAATCATACCATTAGTCACATGGCATCATTGTTGCATTCATCGCGAAGCCATAGTATCCAAAAAAGTACCAATACAATTGAAAACAGTTTTGGACCAAGCTATAAAAATTGTTAACTTTATAAGAGCAAAATCATTGAATTCAAGAATTTTTGTAAAGACATGGATAGTGAACATTATCAACTTCTATTGCACCTGAAATTTTGTTGGTTATCTCGAGGTAAAGTGCTCTCTCATCTATTTGAATTGAAAGTTGAGGTAAGATTATTTTTTTTGAACATAAATCATTTTTGTTGAGTGAACGCGTGAATGATTATTCTTGGTTGGCTACTTTAGCATACCTATCAGATATATTTACTCATTTCAATGCACTTAACTTAAGTCTTCAAGGAGCACATATTAAAATTTTCAAAGTTGAAGATGAGATTGAAGCGATGATTAAAAAGTTGGAACTGTGGAGTCTTAGGCTGTCAAAAAGAATTAGGATCCATTTCCAAATCTCAAAAATTTTATTGAATCAACTGAAGAAGTATTGTCAGATAAAGATCCTAAATATTTTGTATAACATATGGGTGATATGGAACGTAGCTTCCGTGATTACTTTTCTGTTCTAGCTATAAGTAGAAATTGGATTCGACAACCTTTTGAAATTGATATTCATCAAATAAATAAACTTACATCATTGGAAGAAGATAGCCTTGTAGAAATTTCAAAGATACTTGTTTAAAAATTCAATTCAATCAAAAGTAATTAGAAAATTTTTGGATGCATATTAAGAATATTAAGATTAAAATAATTTAGTTTACAATTCTTTTTTAATTAATGTGTTTAATGATGTTAAAGTTTAATATTAAAAATTAATTTAATAAAAATAATTATAAATGTGTATAATTTGTTATGTTTGCTTCTATAATTTGTATATAAAATAGTTATTATAATTTTGGTTATGATAACTTGATATGTTTTGTAAAAGAAAGTTATTCGACAAAAAATTGGTAGGGGGTCCACGATTTCTGTAAATCTTTCATCGGGGGTCCGAGTTCCATAAAAGTTTAAGAACCGCTAGTTTAGAGTATTAAGCTTATTGCATTTTTCTTGAATATATTAAAATTTATACATCGCAAGTCACCAATTATTTGTTTAACAATAATGTTCAATTATTGGGATATATTTAAATCGTAATTAATTTATTTTTATCCTCATGCAAGCTTCATATTTGTTGGTTTACGCACTATTTATACATTTTTATGTGATAAAAAAAATAATTTATATAAAAAGTGTTTGTGAATATGTGACTGTTCTTTGTTTTAATTAAATACTTGGCTAAAGTACAATTTATGTTTTATATTATAAAAACTAATTACATAGTTAGATAATTAATAATATAATAATAAATACAGTAATTCTTATATAGTTTTGGCAACATAAAAAAAAAGTAAACTATACTTGTTTGGACCGGTGGTAATATGTACAAGATTAATTACCCAGTTAACATACCTTTTTTTTACTCTTGGTCAGTAACATAGTATACCACTTCAAAAGCTTACTAACCTGTTAGTGTATAGTGCTGTAATAGAGTCACTGGTGTTGGAAGAGGTTGTCTGCGTAAAACCAGTGATCTATGTAGTACTTAAATATGTAAGTGTATATATATGTAGATGTGTAATCCTTAAAAACTAATATAAAAAATAAATAACTCAAAATTTTATGACTAATATAAAAATAATATTTTCAATAAATAATATAATAATATTTACAATTATTCTTTGTTTATACACAAAATGAAATTTTTTTTGGTTCTTTGTACGGAAATAGATATAATCCTAGTGTATCATTATTGTATTGCGTGGTCATTATTTCAGTGCTATCAGGTTTGCAATTAGAATTAATATCCCAATCCCAGTACTGATCAATGTCTAAAATAGCATAATTTAATTTTGGTTTCATTAATTCCCTACAATTTAAGAGTTGTTTTCTTTTTTCTGGGTAGTAATTATTATGTTTTTTATTATTATTAATCATTTTCTCCCTGACATTTGCAACACAGTCAAGAGGTAGAGTAGAAATATAATACCGTGTAGATGCAACATATATATTATTTAATAGTTGATTAGTAGTATTGAAAATCGAGTTAAGTATTGAATTATTAAGTTTAATATTAAACAAACTTAACGTTTTTGAATTAAACAACATTTTTATTCTATCCCAAATTTCTATTTCAAACAAACAAAATCTGTCTACAAATGTTAATCCAACGCTTTCGATAACATTCAGATAATGAGTATAACATTGGATAATATTAATATTGTTTTTAAGACACGGTCGAATAATGTTTCCTAATTTTTTACCAACGGTACCATTAATAGGTACAGGAACTTCTATTTCATTTTTTCGCGTCCATGTCCAAGGTTTTTTACATTCCCTTGGGTTAAATAATTCAGATGACACAACATCGGGATCGTCTAATATAGTATTTTCGTTGTAAGGCATAGGACAACGAGATACATCTTTTCCTGTATAATAGTCATGTTCTTTTAATGGCAACTATATAAATGCAGGATATTGTCTGATAAGTATATTCAAGTCGTCAATAGTAATAGATGTCTGATTTTCAGTATTCTGATTCAATTCATTATTTGTATAAACACTTATAACATTTAAAACTATTATTTTTAGTAAAACAATAGATATTTTGCTATAATAGTACATTTTTACAGGTTATAGCAAAATTATTCAGAAACTAATTTAATTAGTTATTATAAAATAAAAAAAAAACACCAAATTTATCAAAGAAAAAATTTAAATATTCAATTTTTGTAAGTTTTGGATTATATTCGTTTACTTCACTTTTTAAAACTAATAAATTTTTCTTGAAATTATTTGTTTAACTATCATGTTCATTTTTTAGGATATATTTAAATCGTTTTTTTGAAACAAATTTATAACTTACATAGAAAACACTAGAACCTTTCAAAAATAATATGTAAATGCTAGATTTTATGAATCTTGGTAATGACAGAGTCATAACATATAAATTTTTGTCAAAAAACATTAAAACAAGTGATATTTTCGAAGAAAAACTACTTTTTTCCTGTTTTAATTATTTTCAATTCAAAAATAATAATTAAAATTGAATAAAAATAATAATTCATTTCAAAATAATAATCGTATGTAAATATATAATTGGTTAATTAAGGTTCATATATCAAAAACTCAAATATCAAATATTTTCCTTTATGTAAATGTATAAACTTCAATAATTTCAAAGAAAATGAGTAATCTTATCCATAATGAATCACTCTATATATTATCTGTTTAATTGAAAATAAATACGTGCTTTACTCTTATAATTTTTTTTTGTTACGTACTTGCAAAAAAAATTGTAAATGTTTTAACCTAATTAATATTTTTCTCTAATACGGTACTGAACATACGATACAAAGAAAAAATAATAATTATATTACCTTAATTTCTAAATATGAATCATAAAATCTATCAAAAACTCAAATATCGAGATGAAAATAATGCTAAAATTTTGGTTTCGGTTAAGGTTAACGATTTTGAAAGTTTTTTTTTAGGTTTTATATGGCCTTGATTTTGTAATTTTCAATGAGTTTTGGTTTCAAAGTCAGTTTTACAAGTGTTGGTTCCTAGTCCTGATTTGAATTACTTAATCACAACTTATTTTAACATAAATAACTTTAAACTTAGGCCTTATTACAACGCGGTAGTAAGAAGATGTTTAGGTGACGTGGGTCACCCTGAATCAATGTCACATGGCAGTNACCACCCTGAATCAATGTCACACGGCAGTCCAGGGCAGCTTACATCAAGACAATTAAAGAGGAGAAGAAAAAAAACTGGCATAATCGTACGCCTCGACTGCGTCCTTTAGACCTATGCCTGCGGCTACTAGAGTAGGATTGCTCTTGTGTCGGAACAGGATCTCGCTGAAGGTATCCACGACCTGGTCGACCGCATTGTTGTTCCCTCCCTTCAGCGTGACATGAGGCTCAACCGATCTGCCTCCTCCACTAATCCCTCAAAAGGGTCATATGGTATTACCCGTTCGGGGCTAAACCGGACACCGGCGGAGAGGTCCTGCCGCATCATTCTGAGTATGGAGTTTACCGAGCTACGGAAGTTTACGAGCGACCGGAAACCCCCGTGGGCAAACACTCCATCCGCACGCATTCTAGGCGCTGTGCGATCGTCGAATTCAGAGCGGGACATAGGGAAATCGTTACAGAAACGACTCCTAATGCCCGACCACTCCATTAATTTTGATTCCAATATTTAATGTTATTAGCTTTAGCAGTTAAAAAATGATGGTGATAACGCACATTCTTGTCGGCCTCCTTTTAGCTTCATTGCGAAGCTGAGAAGGTATTAATTTTACCATGTTGTGTTTATTTTATTTTTATTTGTATCTGCCACTACTAGTTCTCAGCTCTCACTGGACCGATTTTTTTCAACAATACGTTAAAAGATCACAAATCGTATGTAGTTGAAGACATTACCCTTAAAATTGAAAAATTTTTCCTCGTTCCCAGCAAATGGGGGAAATATCCAAAAAAATTACAATTTTTAAAATCGGTAAATTTTGTAATTTTTTTCACTTTTTTTTCTTAAAACTTTCATAACTTTTTCAAAAATGAACAAATAAACATATTTTTTTTTTATACTAAAACCATAGATACTTTACTTTTATTTGATATCATTTTTTTGAAAATTTGACACTTGACCTGCTCACTGGAATGGATTTAAAATAGCAAATTTTTTACGTAAATTAACTTTTTCAAATTAATTTTTGAAAATGTTATGAAAATACTGCGTCTTTAAACATATACCAAATTAAAGCTTGTTTTATGTACTATAAAATAAAAAAAAAAATTTGTCACGACACTTTATCCTCTGCATGAAAATGGCTGCCGTAGTTAACAAACGCTATTTTTGTGTTAAAATTTTCTACTTTCGATTTTAAATTTTCAACTTAAATATGTTATAACTTTTCGAAAAATATATGTATCAGCACAAATGTTTTTTTTTCTAAATACATTATAAGTACATCTTTCATTTGACATACTTTTTATTAAAATTGGACAATTTTCCATTACATTGGGGGCATTAAAACTTGAAACATTGTATAAAAAATAGAATTTCTAATATTCTTAAAGTAATTATTGTCGAATTAAATTTGATGTGATAAAAGTATTCAACTACAAAAGTAAATAATTTTACTTTGTAATTTTTTAATTTTTTAACTCTGTTTGTTCGTGATGAAACAGTTTGATAGTTTTTATCTCTTCAACAAGAGTGCGACATGCCACAACTGGTTTATCTGTTGGGGTAGTGTGTGGCAGTGGTCGTGAAGGATTCATTCGCGCTCAATTAGTCGGCCGTTTCGGTTATATCGACACCAGGTTTTTTTGGGTCGAGTATTGCCTTGTCGCCACAATATTCAATTTGAGTTGCTTAACGGATTGTTTATATGTTACGGTGTTTGTTTGTTGCTTTCCCTGTATCTGAAGTGTTACAGTGTTCATCACCTTCAAACGGCAGTTGGTAATTATTAAGAATTTTTAATTGCTTATTTTAACGGATTTACAGTCCACATAATATTTTATTATTTGTTATAAATTATATAACATTATATTATTAGTTATAAAAAGAGGATATATGTTATTTATTTTATTAGTAATTAGTGTTAATTTCATTTATCATTGGCTCTTGTTGTTTGTTATTTTTTTTTATAATAACTGAAAATATCATATGGTGATTATTGTATATGTTGTTTTTTCTTTTTATTTAGTATATTGTAAGGCTCAATTTCTACATTTTTATATTCTCCTTTCCTTCCGCTAAGGCATGGCCAAAATACGTATGGTCAATCGTATGTATTAAACAAACTAAAAAATTACAAAATCGCAAATTGCAGATACTAAAAAAAAAATATAAAGCCGGCATTGCACAAACTCTATTTGTGTGTGCTACTACAAGTCTATAATTTTTTTTAACATGTTCTATATAAATCGTAAATTAAAAAAAAAAAAAGATTTTTAGTTTTACCTGAATTTAACAATGGATTTTTACAATTATAATCAATAATATTATAATATTATAATATTTATAATACGCTCAATTGAGTAAATCTTTTTAACAACTTTTTTTTTATTGGTTTTTTAGATATATAATCATTTAATTTAATTAAATTCTGAATATTTCCATTGTAGAATCTTTTTAAACGTCAAAAGTTAATTAGTATATTAATCGTAATAATTTCATTTTTTTCTATTTAATAATGTCAATTTCAAACTTGCAAGTTGAGCTAAATGTTATGGTAATAAATTAATTTTTGTTTTTTTATTAAAACTTTAACTTTAAAGGACAATAAAAAGTAGGTTCAAAATGATTACTTTTAACATATTAAAAATTAAAATTAATAATAATTTAAAAACAATTAATTTAAAAAATTATATAATATATAATTAAAAATTATATAATATATAAGAGAATTACTAATCTGGGTAAAATTAAGGTAATAGAAGTTGATGTTGCTTTTGTAATTATCCATCAATTTTTTAAAATTAAACACTATCTACAGATTTGCATCGAAGCGTTTATTATGATAGTGATTTTAATCAGTTAGATTAAATCTACACTGGATCCAACTATGCAACGTCACCACTATGCCTCGACTCCACTGTGCTGGGTTTTTTTTACTTAAAACTGCCAGAACTTTTTTAAAAATTACCTATTCAATATAATTTTTTTTATAGATATGAGTATTAATCTAACATTTTATGTTTTTTTTATAAATCAGTCCTTTAACTGTACACAGGGGGACTTCAAAATGACAACTTTTTCAACTTTATTTTTGAATGTGTTCCGGAAATACTGTACTTTTATATATATCTTAAATTAGAGTTAATGTAATATATTTATATTTTTAATTTTATACTTCTGTAACTTTTTTAAAAACTTATGGATAAATACATTTAATTTGAAAAAATTTTCAACTTATTTTTAATTAAAATTTATTTATTGAGTTTTGATAAGTAACCTATTAACAAGCCAAATATTTGTTATATTAATTAGAAGAATTTGGCTAATTATGTGAGCCATATACGAAACTCTAATTGCTGATTTAATATCGGCACATATATGGGTTTACAAAAGTATATTTTGTTCTCGGATACTGTAGACCAGTAAATTTATCTATAAATAACAAACAATTTTTTTTTTTAAGTATTGTATCACGACCTTCAACTTATAATAATACTAAAAACTTTTGTTTTGGTCAGGCCAAAGGATACTTTAAAAAATATTAATGTTGATCTTTCTATAAATTATACTTCCCCAAAAAGATATTTATTCAAAAAAAAATTAAATAAGGGTATATTATTAAAGTTAAAATAATAAAAAAAAACTAGAGTGTTTTGAATCTTTTACATATAAAAATCAGTCATAAATTTTTAATTTGTCGATATCAACTAGAAACATTAAAAGTATTAATATTTTGTACAAACATTGATTTTTATAATTATTTATGATTATATATGTACAATTATTATATTTTTAAAGAATTACATTGATATCTAATATGCACTATGACAGATTTTCCAAAATAATAATATATCATATATATAAGAGAAAGAAACACTGAATTGTGAATGATTTAATGATAAAATTTTAAATATGTGTAAAATAATATAATACATACAAGAATTTATTTTTTGATAAATTATTGTGAAGACTTAAATATCAACAACTTATAATTTTAAAAACTTAATAATTTACTTTTATATTTGATCATGTACAAATTCAATAATAAGCAAATATTTATTAACATTTGATAATTTAGAACTTATAATTTTAGTATATACGTGGTGAAATAGATATAACTAACAATGCCTATAACTTTTGATACCAATTACAATGAGTTTATTGTAATTGTTTCTTTTATAGTTTAACAATTCTAAGACTGCGATAAAATCATTTTTAAAATGAACAGTGG